ATCAGGGTAACATTTAGAAACCAAGGTCTATTAGCCACTGCAATAATTTCCCAAGGGAGCATCAGGAAGATTCAATGCAGTAATTTGAAACTAGAATGGACAAAGAAAGGGAGAAAACACCACAGAGCACAAGTCCTGCAGTAAGAGAAAAAGCGATCTTATAGGACTAGTTTATATAGAACTTAAAGCTGTTTCTGAAGGTTTCGTTGGCTTTCTGGATTGATTGTGTCCACCAGCACAGTAATAGAACAGGGGAAAAATAACGTAATTCTAGCAACCAACAGAGAGCCAAGTGTAGTGTTGCACACAGACTTGGGAGATCAGGGTTCTCATCCATCCATGAAACTCACTGTTTGTTTCAATCACAGCTTGGTTGTTGTGAGGCTAAAATGAAGGTGACAATAATCATATAAACTGTTTTTTAAGGCAAGTAGGATATAAATCTAAAAATAAAATCAGTCAAGGCTTTTATTTGCAGATACTATGATCACTACAGCTCACACCCCATGCATATCAAAACGCAAAGAGAACACACGTTTTGATACCCTTCCCCCTTGGGGACAGAGTAGCCCCTGTCAAATCTATACAGATAAACTGATGTGTACTTATGTATCCACAGTATTTAATCTGAGCATAACTAACATTCAGGGCTCATTTAGCTTTCATGAAAAAAGATTTTTTGTGAAACGATTTTGCCCTTGGGGTGGGGAAAAGTTGTAATAGGATACTCTCTTGCAAATTCAGAATAAACAAGGTAGCAATTCACAAATCAGTACTGGTAAGTGGAATGTGCTGATTTGATAATGCAGCCCATCCAGGAACATATTTTAGTCATTTATACATTTATGAATTCCAGGAAAATATTTAAGTAAATACGTTTACATATTGTAGATGAAATTACATGCTTATATATTTATTGTATATTTAAGCATTATACGTAATAGTAACACTAATAATTATTAATATATGAACTAACAAGTAAAACTGATCTCAATATGTTGGTATGGCCAATACTGTACTTTTTCAGAAAAGGTCCTATTCATATTTGTAGACCAATGCTCAATGATTATTTACAAACACCTGGATATATTACATATTTATGCAAATTCATAACTGATTAAAATAAGATTTCTACTTGACCATAGTATAATACACATTGCCATATATGAAAGAAGCTGATATAAATACTATTCACAAAATCATTAAAAATACCGAAGTAGCTTTCTGTAATTGTACCGGTGCAATTATTAGACCAAGCCCTAATTCACAAACATTTCAAATAATCTGTTATTCACATAGAAATCTGCACAGGCTCATGAAAATCAGCAAGAAATTTGGGCTATGTTGTTGAAAAATAATTTTCAAAAAAGATCCCTGACACCTGTGCAGGGCAAGAGTCTCTCAGGCTACTGAGCCTAATTGCTTGAAGCTTTCACCATCACAAGAGACAGGCACTGCACATGGAAGGCTAGCCTTTCTGTACTTGCAGTGTTCTTGATATTGTTCCATAGAGCCACACCGATGCCATGACTGATATGGTGGCACAGATGCTTTGAGCTCTGATGAGTTATGGCTGGTTTTTGCCTGAGGGAAAGTTTCTGTTACCCGGCCCACTTCAGGCCTGAGAAAACACATGGTCTTCCAATGTTCTCACTCACAGTATCATCATGCACTTGGCAAGGAAAGGGAACAGTCCAGTCAACATCAAACGATCTGCCAGAGTTTACTGTTGTACTGGTAAGATTGGCTATGTACACAGGTGAGACATTTGTCACAGCTGTACAACCGTACAAGAACCTGTCCTGATTTGCACCCTGTAGAAATGATTCTCTGAACAGAAGCTGCTCTTCCATGAACATAAACCGTTCTTCAGATAAATTGAAGAAGGGCGTCTACAAGACATGGCTTCTAAGGTCTACATTTTCCTCCCAAACAAGGATTAGATTTAGATAGTTGATGCATTTGTACTCCTGTTTTATATTAATTGGATTTTGTGCTGTATTGGTTATGATAGTTTTAATCTTGTTATGTTTTATAATTATGCTGCTGGTTGCTGTTTTTGTGACACACCCAGAGAGCCTTCAGACTATGGAATGGCATACAAATGAGAGGCAGAGGAGAGATGGACTATATGAGCTCCTCTAGCTAACACATCTTGAACCTTCGCAGACTCACTATAAACTGCTTTCTTGTGGCTGGAGAAAAACATGCCAGAAGACCTGCTCAAAACAGTTACATTCCTGCAATGCCACTTTGCCCAGTATTTGGAAATGATCACATAATGATCACATAATGATCATCCCCATCTATAAAGCAGAACATACTACAAGATTTAGGTTAGAGTTGGATTAACTCGTCTACATTTTTGAGTGTATAAATTTTCCTATCTAGATTTGAAATAGTCTATAGCAGCCCTGAGCAGGTAAAGAAAATATGTGGCAATGGATTTTGGACTGAATTAGTACCATGGCATCAGAAAATGAAAAAGAATATTGACTGCTTAAAAAGAAATTTGTAAAAAAAGAAAAGAAAAAGGAAGAAATAAAGAAAATTTACCTCATGTACAGTTCTTGCATACTGATAATTCAGTGGTTTAGAGATTCTTGTTTCCTCTACTTAGAACTCTGTACAACTCATTTGTTGATATGAGAAGCCCATCCCCATCTTAGCCCTTTGTTATTCTCTTCACACACTGTTGTAGACAGTCATTTACTTGAAAGGAAGGCCTGCCAATTTCAGGAGTACTTACTTCCAACTATCTGCCTTCCATGGCCTTACAGTGCTATTCTGCTCACAGAAACCTAGAAGACATCCAACTGGCTGCAATATCATTGTTGAAAGCTGATTTGGGAGACCACACTGATACAACACAGCTGTCATCCTCAGATATCATTCAGAAGCAACATATGAATCTGTCATCTATGACAGAGATGGGTGAGGGGAGAACAACAGCTAACAGCTTCCAAAAAGTTTGGAGAAATTATGAAGCAGGTGATAGCAGTCTAATCCTATGCAATGGCTATGTGGCAGCAAGTAGTTATACTGCAGGTCCAGATGAGAGACAGAAGAGCATTACAAGTAAATCATTGGAAGTTACTAATAGAATGTTCCTGACCCTATTAATTACATTAAAGTAGAAAAAGAACCAATTGTGAATACCAGCCGTGCTGGATCAGACCAAAGGCTCATCTCCCAGATCATTATGCCTTCAGTGACCAACCAAATATTTCCACTAAGCTCAGAAGTAAGATTTGAAAGCAACATCTTTTCTATGTTGTTGTTCTCCAGTGACAGGTGTTCACAGAAAGTGGAAAATCCATAGAGTCCTCACAAATTAGGAGATATTATTTACTTAAAATATTTCCAAGAGGATTTTCTCCTTTCCCTTCTTCATTGTTCTATACCATTGTAGTCAACCTGGTTTGTTGCAGGTTTTTTTGGACTACAATTTCCATCAGGCTTAGCCATCAGGGCCAATGGGCAGGAACTATAGTCCAAAGGGCCGGAGTTATAATCCAACAAATTTAAAGGGCACTGGTTGGTTTCCGGTGTTCTGTACATATCCCATTACAGTCTCAGAAATGGTATGTTCATGGAAAAATACATTCTCAGTTGATCTAAACTGAGTGGATTGAAAAATAAACAGGAACATTTTGTTTGGGGACTCCTTCCACAAGGCTAAAATGTATGACAGCTATACTCTGTAGAACCTCTGTGACAATCCTGTTAATTTCAGTGGAGTTTATGCAGAAGAATTTACCAGTTAATTGATCTCCAGAAGGCACAGAGCACAACATTCCCATTCATAGAAACAACCAAAAGTAGGAAACAATCAAAATAGAAATTTCAAGGCACAAAACATTATGCAGATTAGTGAACTGGTGGGAAAGTTTTTCAGCCCAGGGCAAAAATCAGTTCTTTTACCAAACACTATTCATTCATTAATTAAATCTCCTGGCAACATTTTGTTGTGGCTATTTCTTTCTGCCTTTCTTCTTTCCCCTTACTAGTTATTTCTAGAAATGCTTATTAATTTGTCATGATATCCTTCATTTTTTGTTCCCCACACAAATGAAACACTGAGTCTACACAATAACAGGCCAATAGCATAGGAACACAAAGAACTGAGGAAATACATCCAGACAGGAAACCAAGAGAAGCATCGATGGCAAAGTAGCATAGAATAATTTTATTAGGGCCCAGTACATTTCAAGTCACGATGTCATCCCTCTTCAGTGACAAATGAACCATTTACCCTGCAACGGAATTGCTCAAATATCCTTGTACATTATTTGATAAAGTAAAGCACGCATCACATTTAAGGAGATGAGTATTGTCTAAGGAGTCACAAGACTCTTTAATCAGCTTCTCTGAAAAAATGGGAAGAGGGTATCATGATTCAAACTACAGGGGGCTTAATGAACCCACCTTAATGTATATCAGGAGCAGTGAAGTTCAAGCTTGGGGTCCTGATTCAGCTCTCCTGGGCTCTCCCAGACAGCTACGCCCATCCTCTTTCCTCCAGCCATTCATTGTTTGGTGATTTTCTAGCTTTTCTGCAGTTTTCCCCCATTCAGCAAGGTTGAAATACCTCCCCTACGACTAGTTACTGGCTGCTTCACCTCATATATGTTGTGGGCAGTGGGAGGGGGATTAGCCAACTGCTTTTTCTACTGGAGTACAGCCCAAGAGCTTTTCCAAAACCAAATCTGACCCATGGGCTGAAAGAGGTTACCCAGCCTTGTTGTACACTTTCAAGGTCTATTATCACCATTTTTCATGTCTTAATAGAGCAACAAGTTTGTATCCCACAAAAAGCCCATCTAACTATGGTAGCTGACAGGAAATACAAACTATAAACCACACGTTGGGCTAAAAGACTTCCATTCCAGTATGTGACCACTTAGAATTCTGGTAAAAGCTTTTGTGTGACACTGAATCCATGTTTTCCAATTATTAAGTATCAGAAGTTCCCTTGGTTCATTATTATTTGCACCTACCAGTGACTGGGGCATCGATATCCAGCAAATTTTTTTCCTGGCGGAGAATTGAAGCACCCTCTGTTATTATTCTCAAAGCTACGCTCTCTTCCAGTCTTCCTTCCTTCATAAGGTGTGCCTTTAGGATATCCACTCTGGGCTTTCCATCACTGTCAAACACTTCCTTAGCTGTGAGCCGATGACTTGGAGGAAACGGGACAGCTGAAAGAACAAAGACAGATGGGTTCAATACACCAAGTAAGCACATTAATCCTGATAAAAACAACATTTTACCTGTTCTACTGGTCATCCTTTTGGTTTATAAAAATGCTTTGCATTTACTAAGACTGTCATGTAGTAAGAACCTCTGCTTATGCAGCTAATAGCTTTTAAACCACAGACATCTACTTGGAAGATGTAATGAAACTTTATTTAAAATCCTTAACCATTGTTCTCAGTCTGGAAAGAAAACTATGCTATATCCACAGATCAAAGCTCTGGATAAAGATGCACAGGGAATATGACTTTTGAAAAGAGCAGTTCATCTAAAGTATCCATACGCAAGGAAGGCAACTGCTATTAATCTGGGTTTTTCCCTACTGCCACCTCCCTGGCAATGCCTGGCTTGCCCAATTGATACTATACATATATAAATATTTCAGCACCACACAAAATGTGCTATTAAAGCACAGAGCTACAGTACTTGATGCTCCCTCTTCAGCTACAGCTATAATGATTGTGAAGTCAGTAGTAAGTGGCTAGCATGCATACAAAGCCACAAGGATGGCGGTCCTGATGTTTTGGGGACCAGCTACAACTGTAAAAGAATTTCCCCATCAAAGTCTCCACTGACGTGTAGAAGAGATTGATTTTACAGAACTCATGTGATGCTGCTGCTTTCACTTTCTTGCTCTCAGCTGAAGGCAATGAAAGGTGAGGCTCTCAGTTTCGTACATCAAGATGAAGCCTTATCCCAGCTTAACCCTCTTTCCCAAGCGGCTAAATTGGAGTGGCTTTAGAGGCTGCCTGCCTTGCCAGCTGTAGGGTAATTATACCGATCCAGGCTGCTAATGCCGTGGGTGGCTCAGATTATACAAAAGTGAATGAAAAGCTCTGGGAAGGATTCAGAACTAGGGGAGTCACAATGTGCACAGGTCAGTCACATCAGACAGCGTACATCTCCTACTACATTTGCAATGCAAAGCAATACTTGAGGCTTCTACATCTTAAATACAACTCTTCTCAACCCCAGTGTCCCCAGAGGCTGCTGGATCACAAGTCCCATCATCCACAGTTGGCACAGCCAAGAGTTGGGATGATGGAAGCTGTGGCGCTTTGCTCTTACAGCTACACTGGTCCTATGGGGAAAGAAAAAATTACTTAATACAAGTAGGACCACTATAAACATGGAAAGAAGTAACTCTGCAGGAAGGGGAGATCTCAGACACACACACACACACACACACACACACACACGATCTCAGGACTCAAAAAAAGGGTTTCCACCAATCTGTAAGTACAGGTTGCACACAGGAAGAAGAAGAAGGAAAACCCTTTTATGAACACAAATAATTCACTAGTATAAGCAGTCACAAAATTATCTTGCCTGAAAAATGGTGGGAAAGTTAAATCTGGCCTATGCTTCGGATAAGCAGAATTCCCTGCCTCCAACTCTAACAAATAAATCAAGAAAAATAGGTATATATTTCTTTGCAATTATTTTATCCCAAGTTTTGCATTATCCGTTACAAATATGTCCATACTGCTTGTGAAATCAACTTCGAAGGCCACTGTTCCCTTGCAGGTACACAATCTACTGGATGAAATGTGCTCCAGAACTGCCTCCTACATCAAGTATGTCACTCAGTTCATTCCAGACTGGGAGTACAACAGGAGTGCCTCTAAGTATGAAGGTTAAACAGATGATGTGTGTGAAAAACATAAGCAAGTTCTCCCACAGCTCCCACTTGCGGTTTTCAGGCTGCTATTCACATGCTGCAGATGATATTTTAAGCGCTGGAGGAAAACATTCTGGCCAGGGATGGGGTTGTGACACCAGCCAGCTTCTTATACATGGATGTGGACAGAACAAGTGCAACAAGCTGGCAATCCTATGTTAAAGAAACATATTGTGGTGCTAACTCATGGTTTCCATTTATTTTGTATGATAAACGTTTCAAATGTTTGATCAAATTCTAACCAAGTACAGTTCTGGGGGAGATGGTGTCTGCAATTAAACCTGCTTCAGGATTTTCTGAATCTGCAAGTGTTTAAAAAAAAAACATGGTCCAAAAAATGCCACGCTCCAAAACAGCAGAAATGGTTAATGATTTTGTTTTGTGGTGCCTGTGCCAGCAACACCAATGTTCTCAGCATAGCTATGGGAATAAGGTTCTTAATTAAACAGCCGCTGCGGTGCCAGCAGAGAGGAATACAACACCATTCTTGGCACACACTGCATGTACTATTGTTTTCTCCTTTAGCTTCCTGACATTTTAACAAGGCAGTCTGGCTTCCATTTAGCTTACGCTACACACAAGGGCAATCCTTTTAGCAATGCATATGCATATACATACATAGTCCAGTGGAGATGCACAGCTGCATGAGAAGATCCGGTTATGGATTGCAATACCTAATACTAGTTCAGCTCTCCCAAGCTGTGTTGAACTACCTGGGAGATGCTGGGATTTGTGGTCCAACACATCTGGAGCGCACTGGATTAGCAAAAGCTGGGCTAGACTAACCACATCAGACCATGCTAGGTGAACCGAGCTTGTCTCTTCTTCTAAACTTTCCCACCCACATTGACCTTTCCCCACAACAACCTCTGTTTGTGATGGCTGATCCTACCCTGGCAATCAGGCGGTTTGGCACTACAGGACAAGACCTGGGAGCTGGGAAGCTGTAATGGGAATCAGAGGACACCCCTCTGACATAACAGAAGGAGAAAGGAAGGAAGCTTTGACTTAATCCTACAATGAATTTAACAGTAGGGATACATGAAGAAGGAAAATCTCATTCATTTCAGCCCAATGAACTTCTTGGATGCTTGGACAGTTTCTATCCAAAATACACCGTATCTGATTTTGGAGGTGAGTTGGGTGGGTCTCAAAATATATCAGAAATAGGCATACTGGGAACCTAGTATTTGTAGCATCATTGATACAAATTAAGGCTCCTTTTTTTATACTGTCCGTAGTGGATGGTATGAAAAAGTCTTAAATAAATAACAAAATTTACAATTTAGTTTGATGATTTACACAAAACAGGTCTTTTGTGCAAATTGGGTCTGAATCTTTCAATTTGCATGAATGAGTTTGCACTGTTTTAAATATTTTATCTCATATGCAAGTCCTCCATATAACCCTGGAAACAGCATACTCACTTGGTAAACAGCCTTGTCAGTTCATCTGCTCACTATTTCCTCATTAGCTTGCCATATTGCCTGCTTCACAAAGAACTTGTTGGTGTAAATATCAGCACAGACACTATAGTATGCCACTAGGAGTACATGATTTGCACACATCAAATACAGCTATTTTAATATTTTCATTTATTTTTCAACTCCCACGATTTCTGCAAATGGTATTGTGATTTCTGCAAGCAAAGGAACTAGAATTTCTGAAAAGGAATCATATTCATAGGAACTACATACACTTATTTTTATGTGTGAGTTGGCCTGAGTTTGATTTACACAACTGGCAGTCTGAAGCCTTTCATTCCTTTGGTTTTAAGTCCAAAACAGACATTACTTAAAATATTTTTTTTTTCTATTTTAGCCTATCCTAACACCAGAGCCCTACTAGCTCTACTCTACATTAGAATAAACTCAGGGTGGCATGAAAGGCAAAGCTGCCAGCCACATTTATTTATTTAGACCACTTATATGCCGCCCCCATCGCATAAGCCTCGGGGCGGCTTACAATCATTAAAATCCCACGTATATTTTATATTTTAAGTAATGTTTGTTTGTACCTTAATGTTGCTGTGATGTTTAAAATGCTTATCGCTTTTATGTGGTATTGTTGTTTATAACAGTAAATAAATATTTTCCCATATTTAACACAAAACTAGTATTTAGTTATTTTAAACTTCACAGTTATTAATAGTTTTGGCCAAATATATTAAAACAGGCCAGTAATTATGCTTCATTATCATTTAATCATATGGCTCGAGAGGTGAATTTACAATCTCACTCTTCAAATATAATGACCACAATATTTTTGTTGTTCTTCTTGACATTACACCATAAAAATCTTAGCAGCATATTTAACAACAAAGTATTCAAGAAAGCCACAAAGATTTGTGCCAATAAATATGGGCAGCAAATCTTAAAAAGCAGCAAACATGAAAAACACTGTTTGTGTTACTGAAAACACAGGGCACTAGTGTTTTCTGTTGCTCCAAACTAAAAGTGCTATGCAAGTCATGTACATCCATCTGATACTAATTAACATTTCCCAGTTGTAAATGATTAATCATTCATCAGAGAAACAAAACCTAGTCATAAGTGACCAACCATTTTCCTTCTGATACCTGGTTTCTCATATATTTTGAACAACGTGTGCATATATTTCACTGCACAAACACATTAAAATGAATGAAATCAAAAGCAGCATAAAATGGGGATCTATTAAACTATGCATTTCATGCCATCACCAAAAGAGGGCAGTAATGATTCCTACAATATCTACTGACAAGCTGCTAGGTATAACTATTCTTCCAGGCAAAAACTCTTAAAATGGGGGCTTAAGAGCATCCCAGAGCTCAAAGCACAATAAATAGTCATGTGGTGCCTTGAAAACTACTAATTATATTGTGGCATAAGCTTCCAAAGATCACAGATACTTCAGTTGACAAGTACCTATGTACACAGACATATATGGAAACAAAATGGAAAAGTACAGTCTCTGGCAATCCTCCGTATAGCTGAACCTAAGCAAAGGGATCATTCACACCAGCAATAAATGGCACTAGCAGCCAGCCCAGTTTTGATACTCATTAATTAAAATGTATGTTAATATTAAAAAACCAGCACAAACAAAATAAATCTTAGGTATTGGGAGGAAGCTAAAATGAGCACTTATTAAGATGCTGAAAGGTCAGGGGGAGAACGAAGGGCTTAGTTCAATAAAAGTTCAATGCTACAGCCCATGACTTTCATGGAGCATCCAGAGCTGAGTTCAAAGGTCAGTTTGAAGTCAGAGGATTACATGCATCTT